CCCTCCTAATATATTTTATAAAGTACACACTCTTCATTTACACATTCACCTCCTTTGTCGTTCGTTCCCGCCCCTCCGATCGGGAGCATGGCTGCATTGGCTGTCACTCCTTTCTCATCCAGATCATGATCCCGCTTAGCCCGGTATCTGTGAGACTACCCAACTCGCACGGCTCTCGGGAGCCCCATATCACCCGCCATGGGCAACGACAATAAATTCGAATATGAAGCCCTTCCAATCCCATCCTACGAAGAGGCCATCGGCGCTCGCCCGGGCTCTTCCCGATCGCACCTCGATTCTTCCGAAGAAGTGAGCGACAATACCGAAAGACAAGGCTTGCTCCAGCGCGGTCCCCAAACGGGTGCCCGCGGAGAGACTAGACCTCATGGATATCACCCTCCCACCGTCGAGTCCGCTCGGAATAGCCTCGATGACCTTGAGTCCGGATCTGGATCGGATAGGGGCTCGTTGGAGGAGTTACAGCGGGAGCTGGCCCAGATGGACGTGGAGGACGCTGGTCAGCAAACCTCATCTCAGCGATCTCGCCTACGGTCGCGGTTCTCGAAGCGATTCAACGACTTGACTCGTACATTATCCTCGTTCAATCTGCCGTTTCGCCGTTATTTGCCAAGCTTGCCAAATCTCAGGTTTACCGTCTACCTAGACGATGCTCGGTCGGGCTTCAAACACAATGGATGCATGATCTTGCTGCGTGTCTTTGGATTGCTTCTAGTCGTCACCATCGTGTACATCTTCTTCATTTCGGACCTATTCAGCATGAACAACCGTTTTATCATGGGTCAATCCTACAGCGCCGCGTCCGTGGAGAACTTCGTACAGGGTCATATTAATGAGACGAGCATTGCAGAAAACCTGAGGAAGCTGACCGCATACCCTCATATCGCAGGTACGGAAGGCAGTTTCGTTCTGGCGGAATGGGTGGCATCGGAGTTCAACAAGGCCAACTTCGACGAGGTCGAGATGGAAGAATTCCAGGTATATTTGAATTATCCCCAACAAGACGGTCGGAGGGTGGCGATCATCGATCCGCCCGACCTTGCCTGGAAGGCTACTTTGGAAGAGGATAACGAACAGACCTTGGTATTCCATGGCCACTCGAAGTCGGGGAACGTCACTGGTCACCTCGTCTACGCAAACTACGGCTCCCGAGAAGATTTCCAATATCTCAAAGATCAAGGAGTTGCCTTGAACGGCTCCATAGCGCTGGTCCGTTATGGTGGGTCAGAGAGCGATCGGGCCCTGAAGGTCAAAGCTGCAGAATTGGCTGGTGCAGCTGGTTGTATAATATATTCCGATCCCGCGGAGGATGGCTTTGTCCGGGGTCCGGCCTTTCCAGATGGACGCTATATGCCAGCAGACGGGACACAAAGAGGCGCTGTTAGTTTGATGTCATGGGTGGTCGGTGATGTACTCTCGCCAGGTTTCGCGTCCACACCGGATGAGAAAGTGAGACTCAAGCCGGAGGATAGCAAGGGGTTGACGGCTATTCCTAGCATTCCTCTCGCCTGGCGCGATGCCCAAAGGCTCTTGCAGGTGCTCAAGGGCCACGGTTCGAAGGTGCCGGCCAAGTGGGTTGGCGGTGTCCCGGACGTGAACCAGTGGTGGACTGGGGACGCATCGTCGCCCACCGTCAATCTTATGAACATCCAAGATGAGGTAGAAAGACAGCCTATCTACAACGTCGTTGGAAGGATTATCGGGTTGGAGCAGCCGGAGAAAAAGATCATTGTTGGTAACCACCGAGACTCGTGGTGCTTGGGAAGCGCAGATCCGGGCAGTGGCACGGCTGTGTTCCTTGAGCTGGCTCGAGTTTTCGGGGAACTGCTGACTTTTGGCTGGCGCCCACTACGCACCATCGAGTTTATCAGCTGGGACGCTGAAGAGTACAACCTCGTTGGCTCGACAGAACATGTTGAAAAGGAGTTGCAAGCACTTCGTGAAAACGCATATGCCTACATCAACGTCGATGTGGGTGTAAGCGGCAAAGAATTTGACGCCGCAGGAAGTCCGCTTTTCGAGAGCGTCATTATGCAGATCCTCGGTCGCATATCGGATCCTGACAGCAATGAAACGCTCAAAGATCTTTGGGAGAAGAAGAAGAAAAGACTCGGACCTCTTGGTGCTGGAAGCGACTACGTCGCTTTTCAGGACATCGCTGGAACTTCTAGCGTTGATTTTGGATTTATCGGCGAACCTTTCCCCTACCATAGCTGCTATGAGAACTGGGACTGGATGACCAAATTTGGTGACCCCGGATTTCAGTATCACAAGATTTTAGGACAGTTTTGGGGTTTGTTACTTCTGCAACTTGCAGACAGCCCCATTCTGCCTTTTGACTTGGAGGCATATGCTGCCCACCTTGGTGGCTATATTACTGGCCTGGAAAGTTATGCCAAGTCAAGGAATGTCCCAACTACCGATAACAATCAGAACGCCGCTCAGGACACCTCTGTGACATTCAAGCCCTTGTATGAAGCGGCGGCAAAGTTCAAGGACGATGCGTCTCACTTTCAGGAGTGGGCTCGGGTCTGGCATGATGCTGTTTGGGGAGCTGGTGGGTTTGAGAACAACGTGGTTGCTGTACAGCGTCTGGCACATAATACGCGGCTGGCTCATTTCGAAACCCATCTTCTCGACGACAGGCCAGATGGCGGCGTAAGTGATTCACATCTTTCCATCTGGAACAAAGACTAACCACATATGAATAGGTTCCCAACCGCACACAATTCAAGCATGTCATCTTCGGCCCTGAACTCTGGTCCGGCTATGACCCTACTCTCTTCCCTGCCATTCGAGACAGCATTGATTCTGGCAATTGGACGCTAACTCAGGAGTGGATTGACCGGGTCTCCAATATCATCAGCGACGCGAGCGATCATCTCGTCCATAAGAACTGATCATTCCACTGCCAGGCGGACAACCCCATCACTTTCTCCTATACAATCTTGTGCCTCAATCTACCTCCTTGTCTTTCTACCGCCAAACGACGACCCGATACTGTCATAAACTCAACGCCCGCTATACACACCATCTCCGACCCTGCACAGTATACCTCCACATCTCTTGACTCTTGTGTATCCTCCTTTTGCGCAAAAGATTCCCTTCATTGGCATTCGTGTTGTCCCCTGATAGACGGGAATTGACGAGCCCTCTTCTTCTTTCCTCCCAAGCCTTATCTTCAAGCATTTGTGTGTGTCATGACATGCCAATCGGATCATATATCTTCTTGTATCTAGTCACCTTGACGCCCACCCCTACCGATCCGGGCCTCTTACGCATATTCTTCTACTGTCTGTCTCTTCTATCTTTCATCTATGTATCTACATTTGGGTGTTTGTCTTTGCCTCGGTGCCTGCTTTTTGCACCTTGCTGTGAATCATGGTGCATTCGGAGTATATCAATTTCACTACCACTACTACTTAGTCAATGTCAGGTTTCTTTTTCTCTCACTTTTTCATCATACCTGATAACTATCCATCAATTCCGCGCCTTGATATCAAGGATTTCAATCCACGCATTTGTTGAATCCTATCCGAATGTATACAATAGCTTCCCATTAGCATGAATGCGTACCTAAATTTTTTATGTAGTCCCTGCAATACTGACACATCATAGTCGGATTACATTCCCTTGTATACTTACTTACATGGTGAATACCAACAACGTAACTAAGTAGTTCCATTAACCCACCCCCATTACAATTACTATGATTGAATAGCTAGCTAGTGAGTTAACAATCACGAAAAGGGATCATATATCCTGAGTTTTCCACCCAACTACTAAGTTATGACCGCTATATCAATACTAACTAGCCTATATAACAACTCAATTGAAATTGATGTCTATAGAATACACATCAGCCACACTGCTTACTGATGATATTACCTACCTAATACGTATTTAATCATGTCCCAAGAAAGGGCCTAAAATAATAAAAAAACGAAAGACAAAAAGAAATAACAACCCGAACTACTAATAATGGATGCGTCATTACCCATTTAGATTTAAAACACATTGATGTCTGTCTCCCAGTTGCAATCCGTGCATTTCAACAACCCATGCCGTGTGTCTTTCTTTTCTTTCTGCTTTTGGCTTAACACAAATCACCTATATCCTACATTTTTTTGCTGCATTGCAGCTAGCTAGCTAGCTACATCCCAGTTTAGGTAAAGGAAATTAAACAGGAAAAGTTGAAATGAGTAAGGAATGAAGAAAGATGTAAGGATGGAATAGGAGATAGTAGCAGTCATTAGAAACTGAATTGGTGGATGAGAGGAAGAGAAAAGGAACGCATCGCAGACCATAGCCATGACTCCGCCGAAATGTAGATAGGAAGTAGATTGAATGACGTGGGAAAGAAAGATGAAAATTTCAGAGAGAACAAATAATAAAAAGGCTATAAGATAAAGGAAAAAGAGACAACCAGGCCCTCATCCCACACCCGTGCATGCGCCGTGTTATGTATTAGCCAGTCAACCCAGATTTATATACAGTACATGTTTGGAAGTCAATGAGGAATCAGAAGGATGGAAAGGTGATGGAAATAGAACAATAAGGTATTAAATATGCATAATCCCGGGTTCGCCTTTTCGTGGTCGTACGCTGTATGCAATGTGGAACGGGAAAGTGGGGGGTTCCATTGCATGCTCTATAGGACAGTTTGCGTGGTTTTGGTGAGGAAACATGATGTGCAAGAGATGTTGTGTGCTGGTGGTTGTATGTAGTAGGACTTCTATCTTGAAGGTGGATGAAAGGAGTGGCCGGAGCCTTCGGTTTGGAATCCGAATGCGGAGGACAACACCTCCGTCAACGCAAGTCAGGACTGACTCATGATCAGTATGGAGGATATACATTATATTTCCATTCCTTCCTAGGCTTCCAGTGCGCTGCTTACTTGCGGAAACTCTCAACTCCCAGCGTTGGTGTTTCAACCATGCGATCGCAGGGCACGCCTTCGTCTCGTCTCCGGGCGAAGAAGCTATCACATTCGGATACAATTTGTGCCCACTCCGCAAGAGCCCTTCCTGCGTATTTACTGGCTGCGAGTTTATCATTCATCGCAAGACTGATATCAAGATCATTGGACTGCTTTTCTGACTCTGTACTGTCGTCTGTTCGGGCGTCTTGTTCGTCTGATTCGGGTGCACCTTGAGGGTCATAACTCTCATCGTCGTCTTCTCCCTCCGCCGCTGAAACGTATTCGGATAACGTCTCACAATCATCCCGCTTATTCAGAGATTTTCGGAGCTGCAAGTGCAGCTGCGACCCGACGGGAAGACAGGGAGTGTAGAGACGTTTGTTCTTGCTAGGCCATTGAGGTCGATCCATCCATTCTAGCGAGAATTTGAACGAGTAGGGTTGGTGTGCAGTCTTGGGCCGACTCAGCTCCCCAGATTGGTTCTGGGGCTGCCATTGACCGTCCAAGCCTTTGTCTGCTGACGCCAGATTTTCAGAGCTCGCAGAATCTGACTCGTCAGAGCTGCTAGAAGATGACGCCTCACCATTAGACTTTGAGCTAGAAGAACCGCCAAACATGGCTTTAAGGATACTCCATTTCCGTTTAGGTGCGGGTTGGGGCTCCAATGATTCCGCTTTCGCAGAAGTATTGCTACTGGAGAAAGCGGACGTTTTCTCCGCTGGAGCCGGAGGAACAACACGATCGAATGATACGAAGAAGTTCGATGGCGACAACTGATTATCACATCTGATAATGATAATCCTCCGGCCTGGTGCCGGCGTGCACGGTGCAGAAGAAAGCGGTGTGGTGAGTTCTTCATCGGCTTTGGCCTGGAAAGCAAGGTAGTATTTCCAAGTGCGCTGAAGCCGGTCCCATAGCGTCTCGTATATCGCAGTGTCAAGAGATGTGGGCTCATCGCTAAACCTCCCCAGTCTCCAACACAACAGACGATGAAAGTAGGCGCGGACCATTGGACTCCAATGACTGAAGTAATGGTAGAAAATGGACTCTTCTAGGAGAAATTTCAAGCACAGATCGGCTTTCCTTTCCTCTGAAACAGTCCATGTGGTCCAGATAGCAAAGAGAAACGAGAACACCCGAACTTCAGTGAGAGAATTGTGACTTTGCATCATTTGACGACAGACTTTCAGCCAGAAATTCCAGTCGAACAAGTCATTCTCAATGGACTGAGAATATCGTATGATAATGGGAATAACCTCCTCCACAAAATCACACAGCAGGAAACAAGCATTATGGTCGAACAGCGATGTCCTCTCCGCAGCTGCTCTCATGATGGTACAAAATGATTCAGCATACAGCAACCTTGCATGGTTCGGCTCAAGCGAAGATTCCGAGAGAAAATCCCGAAGCAGAATAATCAAGCGATTTTCAGCCATCAAACGATGACTATTCGCTGCCCCTAAGGGAAGAGCCGAGACAGCCGCATCAGTCCCTTCTATAAAATCATCAAATGTGACCGCGGCAGCCGTGTGATTGGTTTCCTGCATTTGCGGAACCGATTGCTTGTAAAGGGTGTCCTCAAGAACAACCAGGAGCTGCGAGTGAATTGGCAGCAAGCCTGGTGCTAGGATCCGCTTCTGCTTATCAAGATCTGGCGGCAGAGCATCGGCGTACAGTACATGAATGTACTTGACAAAAACGAAAAAGAGATCGGTATCCCGGCCACTCCATCGCGAAACCCACGGGCTCTGCCAAGGAATCTGAACAGTACTCAAAGGTACATCAGGCTTCTGACGAAGGTATCGCACCAGAGCCGTATGGGCGTGAAAAGCAAGCGTCCGTAAGGCTGCCGGGAAGTTTAGGGCAAGGTCCTGTGTTAGCGCTTTCGTGCCGCTACCTTTGTCGAGATTTGACTGGGAAAGTACGCGCCGGAAGATGCTGGGAGGTGTATTCCATAGCCGCACAAGGATGTCGGCGACGCCAGGACAGAAGAAGAATGCATACGCACAAGCCTTGCCACAGAATGCAACTAAGCTGGCGGGCGCATGTCGCATAGACATTCTTTCAACCACAAATGACATCTGAGACAACAAATTTTGCGTAAAGATATTCCTTATGTTGTGATGAATGGACTCAAGGAGAAAATCGGAGCCTGACGAGCCATCCGAACTCTCCGATATAGAAGTTGACGCGTGCTTGAGAGGCTTTGGGAAGTTGCTGTTCGACGGTGGAAGAGGGAAAGGAACCCTCCATTCGGGTCGAGTCATAATGCCGACAATCGCTTCCAAGTATACTGGCCTATCCGTTCCGGATATGGATTGATTATTCTTGCCGTTGAGCATCTCTAACAGCCCTGTCCACCACTTGTTGAGTATGTTAACCCGGCGATCTAGGTCTTCGGGCCTCAGATGTTTACAGGATTGATGTGATGGGCTTCGGTTCAAGAACGGCAACAGCGCGGACCGGATGACGTTGGCTTTCAAAGCGCTGGACTTAGCCTGAAACCTATATGAAGACTAAGTCAACCAATGTACGCATATATGCAAGTTCCTTGAGGACTTACTTCTGGTAGTCAGCCTCGAGGCCCCGGAAAACACCCCAGAGCTCATCCTTTTTCCGCGGCACGTCCACTGTTCCGGCGGAATTCGTAGTTGCCGGTGCTTTAGGCACCGGGGGTAGGACCGGCGTTGAGACATTTAGGGTTGCGGTGAGTTTTTCTAGTGAATTCTTGGCCACTAGTGATTGAGGTGAAGAACTACTAGGAGTACTGGGACTATCTGCTCGACTTTGCGTCACAACCGCGACCATCGGACGTCGCGGTCGTTTCTGTAGAATTGTCCGCCTGCGGGCGGGGGCAGTAGGCTCAGTTTCTGCACTCCCAGAATCTGCTTGGCCGTTCGCCTTGGGTGACGTTGTCGGGGGATTTAGGGTTTGTTCCTCTGTACGTAGAGAACGGAGCCGGGAGCTTTTCCCAGAAGGCGGGGAGCTTGACATCCAGGGTTTTCGAGCCAAACCGACCAGCCTGCCGGACATAGAGCGGGCTTTGGAGGGGCGGGCAACGGGCGACGGTGCCCTCGTTTCCGGAACCTGGGCAGGAGGAACTGAAGTTTCTGGGCCAGCAGGATCCGACACATCCTCTGTCGATACGGTAAAGCGAGAAACAGCGATAGTTGGTTTGTTCTTAGACCGAAGCGAGGTCCGTCGTAAGATGTCTTTGCCAGCAGCCACATCCTCTTTTGACGGCGACTCCGTCTGAACAGGATGGTTTAGGTCGGAGAACGTCCTCCGCAGACCAGGCCGGCCGGCCTCGGTGGCCGCTAGGTCCGGAAGGTGGTTGTAACTAGCGGCATGGGTCAAATGGACGTGATCGTCATCGAGATGAGGGGTTGCGAGCTCTGGAGAGGAAGAAGACATGGTCAAGGATAGCCAATCTTGGCTATAGATCCACGCAGAGGAAGAGCCCTAGCGAGGTGTACATCTCCTCCAGCCGCAGAAGGCTGGGCAATATACTATCACTCAAACGGGCTTTGGGGAGACCAGCTCCTCCATATACAACGAAAGCCACTCCCAGAGAGATCAAATCATATGCGGGTCGTTCTATTCCAGTAGCATTGAATCGTTCCGATCACCGATGCGGAGCAAGACGAGGGAAGGCGACAAGGAAGGGAGGCTTGGAATGATGGCGGTGCAGGCAGGCAGAGGAAGGGCAAGCGACCGCGGCGAGCGAATACGGCAATTATCGACGAAGCTCGGGATAGGACTGGCTCCGAAAAGCTAAACCGGGAACCTTTGACGACGCACGGCGAACTAGGGACTGAATGTTAGCCAATGCTGGGCAGGGAGAAAATGAAGAGCGAGCGGTTGATCGACGGACGGGCAGAATTCCGGCGTGAATACGAAGTATAGCGGAGTAACGATCGTAAGGTTGAACGAGGGGCAGGTGGGAAAGCCGGCAGGGGTGGGCAAGAGATAGTAGGTAGGTAATTGCAGCAGAGCTAAGACTGGCTTGCTCCTTTTCTTGTTCTTTATATGGGCCCCAGGGAAATGATAGAGTGAAGGAATAATGGGGAGTGAACAGAACAAGCAAACGAATGTCGGAATCAACGAGGGAAGGGGAGCGGAGCAGGAACGGAGCGGAATAGCTAGAGTAAGGATAGGGGAGAAAGGAGCCACAAGAAGAGGAGAGGATGAACAAGCCAGCGAGAGCCAGCGACGGCCAAAGAAAGAGAGACAGAGAGAGAGAGAGAGGAGATGACGAGCAGGCCGAATGGGGCAAAGCAGATGAACTGACCGGTTTCGATAATACTTCCCACTTCCTATTACATACAAGCCAGCCCACTTGTTCTTCTTCTCCTGGTGGCTTTCTCTCCTCTCTAACCCTTGATTTAGCCCTTCAGGAACCCGGGCAGATGGGGCTTTCCTCAAGACTGGAGTAGCCCCCGTGAAGCTTGGCCCCAACAATGGAGGGTATAATGATCTCACCAGGTGGTTATTTTCTTTTTTAAAGGAGGACAACGGTGATGACGGGGGAGGGAACAGTGACCTTGCGGGCGCGGAAAAGTAGAAGACGAGAAGGAGGACTGAATGGGACTCCTTCCACGTTTAAGATTGAGAAAGAAAAGAAGGCTGTCCCATCCTAAAGGTTCCAGGCAATTTGCCCAAGTAGGCGGTCGCTTAGGATTTCTTTCTTTTACTATTTCTTTTTTTTTTTTTTTCTACTATTTTTTATTTTTTCTTATTTTCCATCTGCCTGCTTGTCTGGATTTTATGGCTTGATGATGTACCCCGTCCACGCATGGAGGGCCAGAAGGTAAGTAAGCAAGTACACACCGTCTGGCTTGCGCTTGGGCGGTATTGTCTCTTACAGTAAGTACCGGGTATGTATGTAACTATGTATTTGATTACAATACCGCAGTTCCCTTGTCGGAATTCGAGCGATCCGAACATCAGACTCGCCCAGAATGAAACTCCATTGTCCGTTTAGAGATGAAATTGGGACGAGGATGGTGATGCTCATATGGTGAGATTGAGGGGAAATTAAAGCCTGGACTTGGTATTTGTCCCCTTTATCGTCCCCCTTCCTTTCCTACTGTATATCTCACCAAACGTTGAACCGTCCGGGTGCGTCCCTGGTGCTTAAGCCTCGTAACCTATTAATACATGGAGAAGGGGGGAAGGAGTTTGCCCCATGCAAGGCTGTGAAGAGAAATTCAATAATCGCATCATGACGAAATCATTCTCCAAGCTGAATTTTTTTTTTACTATGAATAACCCACACTGTCTTAGCAGTCCTGGATTTGTGTAGATTTAGATGTAGGTGCTATGGTAACAAAAGGGTTGAGAAGAAGGATGGATCAGATCATTGCGACTATTGATGGAAGTAAACTGTATTCGTGAGCGGTACCATACTTTACTATCCGTACTTACCTTTTAACTAACTATCTACTTACCCATCCAATCTCGCTCAGCTCCGGGCTCCGATCCTTTGTGAGGCTGCATGCACGTCCAACAGCAGCTTGCAGGAACAGGTTGGGTACGTAGTAGAGTTTTCGATCCTCGTCCTGGTCCCCGAGTTGGGCAATGCGAAGCGTCTGTGGGAACGGTTGTGCTGACTCGTCCGAGGGGCGCAGTGGAGGGGAACATTCTCCCGTGTTATTATTAGTAGTGACAAGATGGGAGTTATCTATTTCGTACAGGAGGAGGACTGGGATCTTGGCAGGACCCTGATATTAGTCCCTATTTGGTTGCCGTATGGGGTAATTGTGAAACATTGTGAGTAAAGCCGCGCGCAAACTTGACTTGGCATAGGGAAATGGTTAGTCAGGCTGAGGCTGGTAAAAGAGGTGTCGAGTAGGGTCAACTACTTAGTAGAAAGCGCTTCAGCGCTCTTATCAAGTGCTACTTCATGGTGCAGAGGAGTTGCTTGCTACTTATCAGTCGGGGCGTAAATAGATGATCAAAGTGTGGTGTGGTTGTTCCATCACACTCTGCCCCTGTTTGTCAGGAAAGTAAAGGTAAAAGTAAAAGTAACTATCTCTGGGTGACTTGGGTCTTTCACCGTCCGCGCCGTAACTTACCATTCATTGTTTGTTTGGTACCACCGAATATACTTGGATCGGAATCGGATCCTCACCAGTACCACCGCAACTGGAAAACCTTCCCTCCAGCATCCTCCTCCTCCTCCTCTTTAAATCTAAATTAAGTGGGTTTACATTATCAACCATAAGACAAATGTGAATTCCTGCCAATTCAATCCTCCGAAAGGAATGTTGTACAGTTATAAGCGGTCCACCTGGAGACTCCCGCTCTCATTCCATTTGACCAACGTCATCCTGTTGATAACCGGGGGATGAAGTGGCTCAGCCAGCCATTTCATGCCTGCCACCGTTTCCTAGTCTTCTTGTCAAAGATTCCTGGAGTATGAGATTCTAAATTGGCTGACAGGCCCATTGATCGCTCAATCATTCCACAGATCGACCCTGCAAGTATGGACGTGTAAGCCCCATATGTGGTAAGCAACCCGGTTGCAACAACCCTCATAGCGTGATGGGTGTTGGTGTTGTGGACAGACAGACAGTCAGACAGATTGATCGAGGCAGATTATCGTATCATTCTTTCAGTCAAAGGCCTGAGTCCTGATGGTCTAGCGGTCTGCGAAAGCAATCCTGGCTGGAGCTGTCATATCTCACGCTTCACACCCACTGTACAGTAGAACAACTAACGCTAAATCCCCTGCATCCTCTTCGAATCGACAGATCTTACCAACACACTACTAACAACGATGATTCGTATTGCATGTTGTTTTTAGCCCGATGAAGAAGGACACGTTATGATCGTCTCTCAGCCCGAAGTAAGGTAGATGCTGTTGCATACCCTTGAGAAGATCCAAAGATGTCCTGCCCTTCCGGTCACCGGCGCCCATGTGCACTTGACCATAACCGAAATGTACCAGATGTATTCGCAACTTTCACACGTCGCACACCAGGGTCATCATTGCAGGAGGCGAATTTCAATTTGTCTGGCTGTATCATGTCCCGCTGTACTCCGGACAGCGTTCCCAAATGGCGTGCTGGGGATCAATCTGCTACTTATCAATCAGAAGAGGAGGTTCGGACGGTCGGATATATCAAACCCGCCCGCGCTACGGTCGCCTGAGGCCAATTTCTGCGCTCGGGGTACCCGCTTTGGCCAAACGTTGAGTACTACGGCTACGAAGTACTCCTCTCACTCCCTTTCTTGAATAACCTCCCGGCCGGATTATGTTCCGAAGGGATGCAAAACATACTTGACTAAAAAGAGCTTGATGGCAAGAGGAAAAAAAGAAAGTTCATGTGCTCAAAGTAGGTTTAATTTACAGAAGTTACTCCAGGACTTGAACAGCGGAGGATATCACATTAAGTCCATCCCATTGTCTATAAGCCCCGACTCTCCCTGATCGTTGTCGATGAAACAACAGATACCTAGTGAGCAGCGTGGGCCTCCTCCTCCGGTTCCTCCTCGAACCAGCTCTCCTCAACGGGATTGGCCTCACCAGCGGCGGCCTGGCCCTCAACCTCGACCTCCTGGCTCTCGTAGGACTTCAGCTCATTGGCGAGGTTGGCCTCCTCGGGGGACTGGGGAGCGGCGGGAGGAGCGAACTTCTGGACGTGAGCGTCGGCGTCACCGGCCTTGACGGGAGTGGGCTTGTAGGCACGGAGTTCGCGGAGGTAGAGCTCCTGGACAGGGTCGGCTGCAAGACGTTAGAAACCGTAGATGCCTCATATGCACGGCTGATTTGCCCAATCCGAGTGAACATTCTCGATGGGAACCGATTCCACATTGTATGATAGAGGGTCACATACCCTGACGGACAGCCGAGGTCAGGAAAGTGCGGCGAGAAACAGAAACCTGTTGCCGAGAGACGCGGGAGAAGAGAGAGCGCTACCGAACAGGGTCAGTCACCATGTCACCTGGTTGAGTTGGAGGGTATATCGTAGGTGTATTGTAATCTTACCGACGCTCTGAGAGTCTGGGACATCATCGCGGCGGGGTGATAGATGAGGGGGGTTGGAGGTAGGTGGGTTTCTGCGAGGAGAGCAAGTGCTGATTGAAGCCGATGTTGGAAGTTCGACGTTTGTTCGGGAGCCTTCGGCTTGGCGGATGACTCAGCAGGGCGGCTGCGAAGTCCAAGTCAGGTGCATCTCCAAGCTGGGTTTGTCCGCTTCGCCCCTCAACCTCAGTTCTCTCGCTTCCTCTTCCTCTCCTCTCTTCCCTCTCGTCGTTCTTTGTTTCCCCTCCCCTCTTAACCTCCCGGCCACCTCTTCCGCAAGGCCTTCCTTGTCTGCTCTGCGACACTTTTTCGTGATACAATCCTCACGGAGAGACCTTGACTGGTTCCATCGCGGTCGGGCAAGTTTGGCTTCGAGGTTTCGGGGAATACGCTGGAGAAGGTGATCACCGAGTACTTCAGTGCTTTACTCTGGGAACTTTGGCAGGACCAAGAGTCCTTCACCTGCCCGGAAAGGTAAAGCGCTAGCTTATAGAACCTGATCCCCTCCTTGAGGATAAAATTGCATGTCGGTGACTACCGGTGGACCTTCACCGTTGTCATTCATCATGTAGTTTTCACTCGGGAATCTCCTGCATCGTCTCCCATTGGAGTTGTTGTTCAGATATGCTTGGGGCATTCAGGCTAACATTAGTACAAAGGCAGTGACGTGGAGACGTACTTGCAAATCAGTCTGAGCGATTTGCGCCGCTGCTGTCCCATCCTCTATCGCCGTTATACTGTGAGCACGCCGATTCATAAAGTTTCTCCAACAGACTTTGGCCGTGAGCCTCACCTCGCCATTCGAAGGCCGTTGCACCTGCAGCTCCGCGTTTATCGACCACTTTTCTAAAAACGATACACCCAAGCTTCGTCACACTGCCTCTAAATATGGCTGCCGTTTCCCCTGCTGCCGCTAGGGCCGAGCCAGGCCAATGGAAGAAGAACCTTTCGGCCCACGTCATTTGCCCCGAGTGCAAAGAAGTGCCCCCTAATTTGGAGTTTCCTGGTTCCCATGAAACTGTTTGCGGCTCATGTGGCCTGGTCCTCGCTGATCGGGAAATCGACATGCACTCTGAATGGCGTACATTCTCCAACGATGATCAGAACAACGACGACCCTTCTCGTGTTGGAGATGCTATGAACCCGCTTCTCAACGGTGATCAGCTGGAGACCCAGATTGCTAGTGGTGGGTCGGGCCGCGTTCGCGACCTTTACCGGGCTCAGAACAAGCAGTCAAGTGAAAAGGCAAACAAAGCTCTTCTGGCAGCCTACAAGGAGATCGGTGCTCTCTGTGATGGTTTCAACATCCAGAAGAACGTGGCAGACACAGCGAAATACCTCTTCAAGATTGTGGACGATGCAAAGGCATTCAAGGGAAAGTCTCAGGATGTGATCATTGCAGGCTGTATTTTTATCGCCTGTCGCCAGTGCAAGGTGCCACGTACCTTCACTGAGATCTTCGCGGTGACCAAGGTTACGAGGAAAGAAATTGGGCGTATTTACAAGGCTTTGGAGAAGTTCTTCACCGCGCAGAACCTCGAGCGGATCAACGCTGTGGTCTCAAGCGGAGGTGTCCCTGACCCCAACGACACATACACCGCCACCACTTCCACCAAGCCTAGTGACCTTTGCAACCGTTTCTGTAACCTGTTGGATCTGCCCTTCCAGGTTACTAGCGTCTCCTCTGCTCTATCCGATCGCGTGACAACGATGGGAGATTTGGCTGGACGTTCTCCCCTGTCCATTGTGGCAGCCTGCATATACATGGCTTCGTACCTGATGGGACATGGCAAGAGCGCCAAGGAGATATCTCAGGTGGCCCATGTCAGCGATGGTACGATCCGCGGTGCTTACAAGCAGCTATATGCTGAAAGAGAGCGCCTGATCGATCCCGAGTGGATCAAAGATGGAAAGGGTGACTTGAAGAACCTGCCTAATAGTTAAATGGGCTAGACCTTGCCCTTTTCAAGCAGTTTGACTACTCGACATTTTGCCGGAACAGCCGCTTGTGCTTCCCATCCAGCGCCTTAGTCAAACCTCACTACTAGCTACTGAGAGTAAACATGATACCCCAAATCACCTAGAGATATACACAAAAAAGAGAGAAGAAACAAAAACAAAAACACACAGATATATAATCCAAATCCATTCCATACCGTCGCATCACCATATCAAACAAAGAATGGCAATTTGCGAAAGAAGGACCCGGTAGTCTCCCAAACGAAACGAGAATGAAATCCAGAAACCAGAAAGGGGAATTTCTCAGTCGTTATTTCCAAAACCATCATCACATGCCGTCATATTCCTTCTTATACTATACCATCCGTCTTCCAACTTCCAAAAAGCAGCCCTCATCAGACCACACCCTTTTCGTTTTGCTCTTAGTTCCCCGTTGACGTTGAATTTGCCAAAACCTTCCCATTGAAGTTTAGTGATTCATTTGCTCAGTCCTTCAGCCTTTCGTTTCACACTCTGTATGTAATTAATCCAGACATATCTAGCTAGCATACATGCCATGCATCATGCATCATTAGTTCTCAATCAATCAATCAATTCCTATTATCACTGGTACTAGTAGTATCTATATAACAATCATACTGTAGATAGATAACGTAACCTTGCAATTCACAGAACGTAAGAACCCAACTCCTCTATCTCATCTCTGTGGTAATAATAATATTATTATAGGAGTTGATCTGATCAGTAAGTGTAAATATTGAACTTCGGCTCAGTGAAGGATGATGATTAGTAGAAAGGACCAAGGGGCAGAGTGACCCTCGCGCAGATGTCAGAAAAGTAAAGTACGATGAATGATACGAATAGCACTGCTGGAAGTGGGCACTCAAGCTAAGCTAGCTGGCTAGCTAGCTAAATGGCTGGCTAGCTGTACTTACGTCTTGTCAACTGGCGGTGGTTCTTGTTGTTGTTGTTGCTGCTCTATAGCTACTGCACAGAGGTATGGTAGTACTATGCGTGTATGTGCTATCAAGGGAGTGAAACAAGACGGTGGGGTGCACGAGTGTCTCAAGAAATGAAGGAAAAAGGAAAAAGAAATGAGAAAGCAACATGTAGAATCAGACAACCGTCAATAGCCGGTACTTCACTGGGTCTCGCCAATGTCACCTTCCGAAGGCCTTTTGCCGTCTGCAGAGGCGGCTAGGGTTTCGGCGACGTTGTCGACTTCTTGCTCAGGGGATGAGGTCTCTTTGGCAATAGAGACATCCTCCTTGACCACTGGTTCTACAGCGGGGCTTGGCTCAGCCGCACTGTCAGTTGGTATTGAGTGGGCAGCCTCGGTGAATGTAGGCTCCTTGGACTCAGTGACTGTCGTGTCCTTCGGTGAAGCTGAGACTTCCTCTTCCTTCTCCGGCAATGGCTGCGGATCAACAGATTCACCGGCGATATTCTTTGCGATCGCTGGAGCCATGGTATCGGGCTTGGTATCGGGAACAGCAGAGTTGGCTTCAGATCCAACGACCAAGTTACCGTCTTCACCAACTTGCCAGACATTCAACGTTGTGGTGATTCTGACCTCAGGAATAGTGGGTAACCTCGTGCTGGCCTTCTCAACGGCAGGCTTTCTCCGCGCGGGTCCACGGGCGCGGCCCTTCCGAGCATCACTCAATGGTTGTTTCTCTACCGGGGCGGCTTCTTCCTCTTTCTTCTTCTCCTGAGGCTTGGGAGGGGCCTGCGGGCCAAGCTGCAACCGTGAGTTTAAATCCGACAGGAACCCTGCCTTCAGGGCAGCAATCTTGCTACCACCAGGACGCGCCGGTACGGCCGGTTTGGGCTTGGGAGCGATATCCTTTGACTCTTCGGGACTTGCACGAGAGATAGGCTTGGCTGGACGGGCTGGAATCTGAGGCTTGGGTCTATCCGGGATGACTGGAGGTTGACGCTTTTCAATAGGTGAAGTGACCGGCTTCGTTGATGCATCCACTGCTGGGGCTTGCTGTGGGCGCTTCTGAGGACGTAGTGGGATGCTCGGCTTTGAGGGAACTTCTGGGCTCTTGACCTCTTCCTCTGACGGCTCTATGGTTGTCACTAGTGTATGGCTTTCAGGCGCATCCTCCCAGATGTCACGGCTGGGAAATTTCTGCTTGGCCACTTCCGGTCGAGCGGGGGGCTTCTCGTCATGCTCTTCGGATTCCAAAATCTGTGTTGCGACCTGATGGGGATCCAAGTGACTCGCGTGGCTTCTACGGAACGACTCTTGTTCAGGAGTCTCAAACGCCTCCTGCTTGGGCCCTTCCGGAGTAGACACCGTAGCGTGCAGCTGCAGACTGTTAGGCGAATCTTCCCAGATATCCTGGCTAGGGAACCGATGTTTGAGCTCCGGACGCTGCTTGAAGCGCTCTGCAGTTGAGACAGTCTTCTTGTCCTTCGCATCGTCCTCAGGAAACAGGGGCTCATATTCTTCGACATCTTCAAGAGGGGTGTAGACGCCTCCATGCTCTTCGCGCGAGTCATACCGTGTCAAAGCGGGCACTCCACTCTGTACACTAGCAGCTCTGCTGTTAGATCTGCTGTGCGTGGCACTAGGTGTGTGACTTCTGCCTTCATAATCGACACTACCACTCCTTTCGAACGAAGGTGAGACAGCGGGATGCTGGTAGGCCGACTCGGGGCGCACTTCGTCGGCAGCCAATATGGGCTCATCGTCTTCATTGCCATCAGTAAAGCCGCGGTTAAGCTCTTCCGGATCCGGAGTCTGAGCGAAACCATCGGGATGGTGCAAGTGGTGGTACGGCTCGTCAACATGGATCACTCGAGGTTCTTGTGGCTTCTCAACTGCCGCCTTCTCCACAGCCTCATCCTGTTGTGCCTGGGACTCTGCGGCTGGTAAGCTTGACTTGCGGAGTGGGGACTCAAATGCCGGACGAGAATCCCGGCGTGGCTCGGGAGGTGGCGATGACAAGCGATGCGTATACTCGTCAGAGGCAATGTAGCCAACTTCCTCCTCTGGAGTTCCCGCCACAGCAGGCGAGGTACCTGAAATATCAACATCAGCACTATCCTTCCGATTACGTAAGTGTATTACTGGTTAACGTACCAAGTCCAGAGCCAGTGACAGCAGAACCTCGAACAATCTTGTTCAGGTCGTCGCTGCTCAAAGCCCAATCTGGTCTAGGAGTGCCCACACCAGGACCATATTGGCCTTGTTCTTCCTTGACGTATTCTTCTGGGTGCTTCTCGTACCACGCTTTTTCGAACTTGTCGTTCATAGGTACACCGTGCCCATGCAGGCCATAACTTCCGGGTGGCAGCGAGGCCTCACGACCACTACGGGTTCTGTTATGACTCCGACCTGGACGTTGCTGCTGGTGCTCCACGATGTATGGACTTGGGGACGGAGCCTGGACATCGCCCGCGTTGGGGTACATGGGCACTCTCTGCCCAATCTCCGGAATTCCGTGTTCATCACCATGGAGTGACTGTCGGCGATCCGCGGACGCAGTTGAAGACTCGGCGCGTGAGCCACTAGCCCGCGAATGCGATGAGCGAGTGGGCCTTTCGGCATGATCATCATGGAGAGGAGACCCGGCACGGCCCAGACCGGCGGCTGCAGCTTGACGAGAATCTGTACGTGTGACAGCCTGCACCTTGGCCTTGGCACTGGAGGAGGGTAATGATGGCCTTGGCGCATGGAGCTTGAGATCGCTTCCCACGTTGCGTGTTTCCGCGGGGGTCGAATGGTGGGCGTCGGAGGCGTTGCCAACATCCAAGTCTTCGTACTCGATACCCTCTTCCCCCAGAGAGGGAATTGTGACACTCGGAGGACGGGGAGGCAGATCGGTCGAGGGGGTACGCTTCACGCCCGAACCATTGGGCAGTTCATTCAAAGGAGAAGGTGCATAGCTATCGCGGTAGGGAGACACTGAGCGCTCAATGCGGTGGGTAGGACGAGGAGGGATCCTAGGCATGTCTGCTGAGGAAGGTGCAAGGCCTTGTTGAGGTGATCTTGACGGTCGGGGAGGGATGACTGGAGCTGTCTGACTCGACATGATTGTCTGGTTGGCCTGATAAATATGGTTTCGGTATGTGCTGGAAATCAATTCTAACGATCGTCAGTCTCAGCGGAGCATTGGACAAGTGTCACATGAGCCAGCTGGATCTCGATGGCGGGGAAGTGATGAGGGTTGGGTTTGAATTAGAGCTAGCACAGGGCAGCTGTGCATACATAGGTCACGGAAACAGGACAGGATGCAGGGGCGATGGTCAGTCTGGGGGGGACGTGCTCCCAGTGGGAAGATAGAAGAGAGCACTATCTCAGCTAGTAGAGGAGCTAGCGGAAGAGCTGCAGAAGAGGGCACGAGGCGAACTCTGTGGCAGGGATTGTACATATGTAGCCGGAAGCAGGTCGATAAGATAGGTGCCATGCGAAGCCGCTCACATTCTTTGTTGTCTTGGCTTGTCCAGCAGACTTCTGAAGGCGGATAGGAAGCCGTTCCAAGGGATTTGGAACGATAGAGAAAGGACGATAATTGCAATGACTGATAAGGGACATGGAATTGATTCGCTTACCTGGCAAGGATAACAAGTGTTGACGCAATGATGGAAGGAGGACTCAGCCCGAGCTCTAGAATGAGGGGGAGGAACGGGGTGGGGAAAGTCAATTCTGGGAGAATTTAACAGATGAATATGAATATGATGCTGAGACAAGATGGAAATATACGAGAGAATGTGTCCGAGCGAGGGGGAATGAGGAGAACAGTGAAGTAAGTAGAAACAGTAGCAAGTAGGAGGAGGAGGAGGAGCAGTAGCTTGGCAGCAGGAGACGGTCAGGCCTGCAAGATAACTAGTCTACTAAGTAACTATGGGGATGATGTATGACTCTTGATTCCCGCAAAGTGGCCGTAACAGCCAGACTAACCGCTTTCTTCCTGCCACGGCCCACCGCCCCGTCGCGTGACGTGCTCTGACGGCATAATACCACTCCTGTCCCCTCTTGTAAACCGTATGGTAACCGTATCTGGGCTGTGAACCAACCGGCACTGTTTGTTGCAATTACATAGTATTGTTGAGGCGGTGGCAGAGGACCCCGCTGGGATCAGGAGTCATTTTTAGGTTTCCCATTTTTTCTTTCTGTATCACCGTGTATCATTCCTTTCTCTTTTTTAAGACACGTTCCACTAGACCCTTCTGCAAAGGATGTTCAAGATAACGTTAATCGGTTCAGACAAATACAAAGTAGTCATAGTAGTAGCTAGATAGATGGAGAAGACCACATACCAACTGTCCGTTTCTCAGGCATCATCGTTCAGCTGACGACAATCCACCAATTATACCAGATTAACAACAAATCCCAGGACCCTCAAATGAGACTTACCCTATGCATGAATGACCGTAATGGATAGGTATGATTTGGTGAAGTTTTTTTTTACTTTTTACCCTTTTTCACTGCATTGCATCATTTGAGGCATTTTCCCCTCTTAGTCTGCTCTTGGAAGGTTGAACATAATGCATACCAAAAGTCTAGACACCTACTAGGTACCCCAGTAACATCGACGATAACACGTTAGCGCTTCGTGATACTACGAATTAGCATCTATGAAAAGGTCAGCTCAGACCCCAAAGGCAAGGCCGTCGCCCCCCCGCCTTGCACGACGCAGAAACTCGGTATCAAATTGGCGGATTACGGGTTGATGATCTGTGGCCGATCCATTCTTGAAAACTCCCCGTTTGCTCTAAGAATAGGAGAAATTAAATCCCTCCCCTATTTTTTGCGCTACTTGGTAAATAGAAACGATGAATGGTGCGGGGGGAAAACATTCGAATACTGGTAAGAACAAACACTGTCCATGGTGAATCCCCCCATCTGCTGCGTCAGGGACCACTTTCCCCCCCCTTCTCCTTTCATGTTGGGAAAATGAGTCGGGCTAGACCATGGTCCAGATGTAGTCTCAGCCACAGCGCCACGAAGGGGGTATTTTCCCCCCGTTGCTACTGTTGTATAGTACAGAGATCTGTCAATGGCAAATATTTACAAAACACCGAGTGACAGAGAATATTATCAGCTTGGCTATGTAACTTATGTTATTTGTACGATATGTTCACTCTTATGCATTATTTTAACCCCCTTTCTACAATGCAATTGCCAATACTTCAGTGTGGCGGTGCAGGTTGCTTCCCGGACTGATTTACTGGTGCAGCCTTCCGTGGTACAACAGGTGTATGTGTTGGTTGCCGGTCTAATATTGAGTAGTCACTCCATGCCAGGCTGCATGCTGCTATGCATGCATATATACCTTAGAGCTTTAAGGCCGTGAATGTCAAGCAATCCCGCTATTATATCCATTCTGTCGAAGTACTCAGTGAAAACAGATAGATACGGAGTATATGTAGCTTGATAGGAGTTGAAATATCCCATGTAGTCTATAGTAACTATGCATCTACCCTTGGTGGCAGGTTTTGTGGCTGCCCGTGGCGCACCCTCCCTGTCCTTATCAGATCACGAAAGGGCAACTACTATAAAATTAGCATATATGGTTTAATACTATAAGAAGGCTCACCTTATTTGCCTGCCATGATGTCGTTGCTATACATCTAAAGAGTTACGTATTCGCCTAGTAAGTACTCTTGCAGTTATTAGGAATTCATAATTCGTAAGTAGATATAGTAGTTGGTAAAGATAATTCCTAATCCTCTGCAGAGGAAACATGGCTGACAACCTTAACTTTACTACTCTGTATACTGTGTGAACATGCCGTGCAGAATTGACTAAGACGATGCTACCTACTTACTACATGATAGACGTGTCTCTAAAGAGTGAGTGAGTCCTTGTTTCCAAAAGAGTAACATATCAAAACCTGAAAATGCACATTGATGAGGGAGGAGAGAGGCAGGGTGGTGGTCTTTCAGACGAATGTCCCTAGAGACAACAAGGCCATGCCTTAGAACCCATTATTTAACAACCTTCAGCAGAATCAAAAGAAGCAAATGGGGCAGCCTGAGAGTCGGAACAGCTGTCTTCCCCATAATGAGGGCGGTCGTCAGCAGTTGTGAAGAGGTGTACTGAGATGCACGAATGAAGAAATCCTTGCCGAAAGATACTAGTGCTACATGATGGAGGCAACCGAAAAGCAGGTTTTCCCATAATCCAAACCCAAGACAAGTTGCTGGTCGGCGGTAAGGGAAAGAATTGATGGGCTTCTGGAGGTTGGAAGGGAGGCTGGCGGGCGCCCTTGACGTGTTTGGTGTAGGAAATTATTGGTGCGCTGGTCCGGAAAACTTATCCTACCGGCACAACCTGCTATCACTGGCTCCGTTCTGCCTTGACAGGTCCCCCCAAAGTAGGCGGACTGGTCTCCGGGTTCAGTCTCCAAACTCCAACCTGTCGTCCACTGGCTCACGCCACTTTCGTCTTTCTTCAATGCTTTATCTATTTCATCGTCTATGCTCGGGACCTTCTCATCTGAGTTGATCCTTGTCATCTCCTACTGACGATTCACCGTGGTCTCTTTTAAAAAAACAGTTACCGCATTTTTCAGGAAACACACATTAACACTACTGAGGGAAACCCTTCCCCCCCTCGTGGTACAGGATCTGATCTTCCCCCATCATGCCTTCCGTTTGAACCTGCTCCTTTCGACTTTCACCCACTATCCATTCCATCTGATATCTCTATATGATTCGATGCAAACATAATGACGGAGTAACAATGCCGTTCTGGCAAATAATGCTATGATTCCCGGGCTTACAGCCATTGTGAAGTCTCCTGCCCCCTGTGATCCAGTACAGCAACCGCTTCTGGGGGTAAAGTGAGCCTCGAGGACTGAACAATGCTCTCTAGATTGCGAAGCATCTCTTTAGCTAACGCGAATCTCTTGCTGAAAGCCACTAGAAACCGACACAATTCCACAAACGCATCCTTTGAATCGTCCTCGTTCAAGGCACTCAGAAAGACAAGGAGACTACTATTGGTGGGCTCGAGCATCTGCCTGGGTATTTGTCGCAATCCATAGGCTTCATGGTACGAGCGGAGACACTGGACAACTTGCTTCGCCGATCGAAGCTGATTTGACCGGGCCTGTTCAAATTCCGATGGATGGGACGTGGGCCCGAAATGTTGATGCTCCAGGAAATATTGGAATAGTACCATAATCGTATGGTGATATCCGATACTAAATGACAGTCAGAGATTGTATAAACATCTGCTCTGTGAAGCTCATGTTCTTACTACAGGTATAAGATCTGTGGTGGTTTCTCATCGTCGGCTTCAAAGTCCTTCGGAAGGCTGTCAAGCCATCGCTGCAAGCGAACGCATTTCTTATTGGCTGCTATCCACAGTTCGCCAATTGCCATGTCGAGCCCTTTGTCAAACAGCAGCTCCGGTATGTCCGCGATAATCTCGGTCAAATCGATCGTTTTGGTCATGACGAATCGTAGATATGCCGGGTGTTTGGCGAGGCCAACCTGATTGAAGCGAGGATACGGTGTCCACATAACATCATCATCATCGAGCGCAGTTACAGGATAAGGTTTATATTTCGGTAGCTTCAACTCTGCGACCTTGCGACTATGCAAGGACGTTTGCCTGCAGATTCAGCCGGTTAGCTTAGTCGGTCTACGTCGGGGATACCGTCATACGCGTTCAAAATAAAGAGACCCCAAGCAGTGATTGCACAAGCATGCTGCAGTCTGAGAGACATTTTCTCCCACTGGCGGTGTCCCATCCTCGGTGAAGTGAACATGCCAAAATCTTGTGCGAGCTGTACAGCTTGTCTGAGCATGAGCCAGCTCAAGTCGTCTTTACCTTGGAATTTCAGGCTTCAACTAGTCAGCTGCTAGAATTGGTTATGTATAATTAGGGAGGGGGATCTCTTCGCGAGCCATACAAACGACTCATTAGGGCCACAGCTTGAATATTGGCTAGAGAAACGCGGCCTTCCTCCGCATTCCACAATCGCTCTGCTTCCGCATAAAAATGCTGCCCCCGTGACGTCTCATCGTCAGGGGCAGCAAAAACTTCTGGAAAGTCGGAATAGATCTTGTCGTGGTCAGAAATAGCAAAGTGAAAGGAGGATGGGAGCAACGCACACTTGCCACAGCTAATATGCTATTAACAAGCAGCGAGGTGCAGCAATCTGGATTGGTTTCTTTGGTAGTCATATGCTTTAGGAACGTCTCTTGATCCACGACCTGCAATAACGGATGATCCCAAGTGAAGTACAACGATATTAGGTGCGAAACAATATGGTCATCATTAGTAACCACTGTCCAAGGCCCAGAAGATACCTGAAACAAGGGACTATCACATAGCCTCTCCACCGTTATCCGCAAGTGGGCATCGACAACTGGGCGCTCGTGCTGCGATGGGATATCTTCCGCAGGCCCAACGCTCTTGGAGTGCTCTGAACTTGCGTCACTGAAATCAGTGGCAGGAGGGTCGATAACAGTGACGAGGTCATTCAGTTGGGCATTGCCACGGATCTTTTCCAACATCTGTCGGGCCTTTTCTTCATCTGAGGATCGAAGCGTTTCGAGAAGCGAGTATAGCAGGCCTCGGTAGTACTCTAGCTCTCCTTGGGTGCGCCTCGCAGCAACCTTTCGTCTCAGGTCGAGCGTCTCATCGAAGATGCATCCACCAGTGTTTTGGCATGCCTTACAAGGTGGCGGGCGTCCGCTGCACTGTGATCCTTCTTCATTAGCAGGAGCGCGACATAGGTGAATGGGCAGATGAAGGGCAAGGATGCAGGTTCGTCGGGAGAGAGGCCCTGGGTTGCCAGTCAAGATTCAGTGAGACACGCGTGCACACAGGGTCTCCCTCCCTCCCTGTGTTTCCCCACTGCTTGTATGCAGAACTAAGAGTCCAGGTATTACCTTTCGCTTTGCCTGCTTGCATGGCAAACATGCTGTCGAATTCTTCCTTGACTTGGCCAATGTGGTTGATCCAGTTGCAACGGGGCCTCGGGGCCCTGGGGCTAGGGAGGGAAGATGTTTGCCTTGGTTTTCGGTGTTCATTTCAGGCGATGATGCTCCTGCTCGGGCGAAGGAAAGGGAGATATGAGATGATGGAGAGATGCTATCGCATCGCTGATTATTGGTCAAGGCTGCTCTTAAGGTCAGTCGGATCGTACGACATGAATATCGCAATAAGACGTACGGCGATACTTTTTCAATCTGAACCAATTATTCTTGGGGGGAAGGACTGCAAAGAAACGGATCTCGGCTCAGGAACACGGGCGAAAATGCTAAATCACCTCACCCTATTCAAAAATTCGGTATGGAGCGACCTTGATTGTTCAACTCTCATGCAAAGAACAACCTATTCTGGGATACTTGTCAATAGGCATATTTCGTCAAACACGGATGCCAGCCTTTCAACGGTCGGTGGTTGTTGCTGATGATTTGTGCCGCGGTGACAACAAGACCCAGTGGGGTTGGGGAGACGATTTCACCCTAGAGGTGATGAAATGGTTCAACAAATCGAGAACACCGTGATACACGTGATCATAGACATCTTCTATACGAGAGCCTGGGGATGGGAAGGGGCAGGGCTGGCAGAAGCAGAAAGACTTACCAGATAACTAACTGCCCGGAACCATGACTAACGACCATCACATCTAAGCCAAAGCGCTTGCATGGTTTGAAAGACCCCTCAGCGGGAAGCAAACAAGCATCAATACCGGTTATTCTTGGGGCAAATTCCGATCCCTAACAAGGGGCCCTGCTTAAAAAGGACCCCAAATACTACAGGTGGACAGTTCTCCCGATTTCCTCCCCAAGGTTCCTCGATGGGCAGAGGTCTGGCAGCAGCGCGAGGCGCATCGGAGCGATCCTGTCGTGGTATTGGTTACGGCCCTATACCGTTCGTTCCGGTCCGATCTACAGGTAATGACACCATGTTCGCATTCCCTAAGCAGATGACTAGTGCCAATGTCTCATGGCCCTATATGTGAGGAAGCTTGGGTGTCACTAGCCCAGACGCATGCTAGCCAGGAAGCCTGGAATGTCCGCTTAGGGCGAGATAACACACTTAAGTGTGACAGGTATGCACGGGTCCCTCGGCCTGCAATTGGTCTACAAAGTACCCTCAGGCCGTCAAATAAGCGTGCCACAAGGTAGGCCAGGAAGGCTCGCGCCCATAGCTGCTGTCTCTGCCATCGAGTCGTTCCAGTGCACTGTTTACTAGGATAAGGGATCCAGGACTCGAATGCATACAATACATGACATAGGTCAAACTCTACCTGCGGTACCAGCCGTGCTTAGCGATCTTACAGGCCGGGTAAAACAGCCATCGGGCCAGCGAACCGCAAAACAAAGTAAGGGAGAGTTTTGGGGAAAGCACACAAGGCGGAGGGGGTAAAAATTAAAAAAAGAGAGGCGGGTAATATAGCAGGCAGGTGCTTCAGCCAACACCCGATATGCAGCAAATACAATAGGTGGAAAAGTTCACCGACCCGCAACACAATGAAATAGCACCAGCTAGAGGACTCCAGATCCTAGACTGGTCGAGGTCGAGGTCCACCATAAATCAGGTCGCCGGTCCACTCCTCAAAAAACGAATAGCTACCGAACCAGACAGCTTCTTGCTTCTTACATCAGCCCAGCCGGCTCGCCTGTCAGAATGGGGGCTCGCATCCTCTCACTGCATCCTTACTACGCGGCGAATGATGCTCCGTTCTAGCCTGCCATGACAAGGGCCCCGCAGCAGTTTCTCGACTGATCCTGGTTAGCAGCTCGATATTGGCGCCGGCTTATGTAGCTTGCTCGAACCAATGTGGGTTGTGCGGTGCAAAGTTCCGTGGGCGTGACGCCTCGTAGCCAAAATTCCGGCTGAGCGGGTATAAGATGGCGATTTGGGACTGGCTCTACCGACCTGAGAACAGAGCCTTCTTGCTGTGGGACTGTGACCGAAGACTAGAGTTCTCGTGTCATAAGCTTAAATCGAGGGCCAGAGATCCCTATTCTTTTGACAGAGTATGACATCCACTCGAACGCATTTCTATGCACCAAGTGGTTATCCTCCTTGCAGCATAGGGACGGGAGGGGCGCGAGCTGACTTAAAACCCCATCTCCACATAGCACCTGCGGCGAAGGTCGCGTCTGTCGATCATTGATAGTCCAGAGTTACATTGGGCCGGTCATCTGTGGCTGTAGGATCCTGGAGGCAAGTGTGCATACGCGGCTTGGAATACTCTCAGAGGGTTACGATGAATGGGTCGGATCACCTGACAGCCCGTAATACGTCGGATTTGCGCAGAAACGGCCTTTTACATCACTGTGACATGAACCTCCTTGAACATTCGCCCATTTACGAGGGGGGACCACGCTTTCACTTACATTTTGTTGGTGTCAACCGATGCTTTCCCTCCTTTCCTACGTCGCCACCAATCACGATGACGCGACCAAACCCCGGTTTTACATACCAGCAGCACACGAGCTTCCCAGCATTTCAAATTGCTCAAATTCTGGGACAACTCCTTTTCCGCCGGAGTCTGCCAGGGGGTGAACGTTAGTAAGGTCCAATCGCTTGGCATGATATAGATTATCTCTCTGCACCGAAAAGCATCGATCCAATCATCACAACTTAACCTTACCTCCGCTGTCTGAGCGCCAATCAAACATGCAGACCCGGTCTCCGCCCCATCGTAGGCCATCTGGCCCTACAGACAGCTTGCCTAGACGTTCGGCATGGACAGTTTATTCTTCTCAACAATAGCCCCCCTCTCCTCTTCCTGCAACCTCACCGTTGAGGATACTGACAGGCAGCCCGATGACCCGACAATAACATTCTTCTGTTCGGGCACCACCCGGAAAGGAGACCCAAGAGCTGGGCATCCATGGTTATACAAGTAGCCGTGGTACAAAGTGCTTTCCCATTACAGTTTTCTCATCACCACTTGGGCTGTCCATGTGGCTCAAATAAACCCCGAGGCTTTTCTTTATCCTTGCGTGCGGTGTCTGCAATAGTTAGCTAATAAAGTTCCAGACAAGCACTCGAGTCACACTACTAATGATCTGTTGTCTCCAATCATAAGGGTTGCAACATGCATCCACGACATTCCAGTCTTTCTGGGTGCTTCTAGCCTTCCTAGCTCTACCGAATCTTGATGCGGGTTCATGATATTCAAGGATAACTAGTGCATTTTGCTTTTTATTTTGCTCCAGATGCTCCACCTCCAAGGTATGTGCGTCTGGACTTCTGTGGAATGCAACCCACACTTCTTGGTCGGGCGTAGGTATGGAGATCAATGGATCGAATTACTCTGCAGAAATTGTTCCACCTCCACATATACCTATGACGGGACTATTCGGCTCGCAATGAAAGTTTTACAGAGACTGAGCACCGAGAAAGAAAATTCTGTGTCCGTTTTCGATGAAAAAAGAACTTCATACTCTAAGGCTCAAATGGCTGGAAAGCCTGAAAGGAGCTTACAAGCATGATTCTAGACAACCAGCAATATTGACCAGTCAACGAGCTACTAATCAATGCCTACCTAGGCCACAAAGACCTTTCAGTTAAGCGAAAGAGTAACCTTCTAAGATATTGCCTAATCAAGGCGAACATGACTCCTTTCACCTCCGTTTCCGGAGTGATAAGCCGCCGTCTATCTAATCAGTAGACGACACCGCCTTCGGTTAGCATCGGTACGAGGGGCTCAACGCATCAAGTCGATCGATATGCATACGATGGAGACCGCTGTCAGATATAGAAATATATCGAATCTGTTACCCAATTGACGCGACAAAGAGACGGGCATCAGCCTATCACCGTATGTCCTGTTAGTTCGCGCCCTGTCAAGGACAACGGCGGGACGTTGCATATCGCGTGGAGGCTCGGATATCGATGGCAAAAAAGGAGTCGTCCCATAGAAACAAGGCACCCGAACCGGCAAGTCACTGTAAAACTTTTTTTCTTGGTTTACCCTTTCCCCTCCGCGGGGTTCGTCTGGGTGCTCCTTAAATTCAGTAGATAGAATCATCGGTTCCTCCTCGTCTGTAGAAAAAGAAAAAATTTGCCATCTCAATTGCTTCTCTTACCACTCGCTTTGCCACCGAACAATCTCTGCATCTCTGCAATTAGTTGGTTTTCTTTCCGCTCGGGTTACGGAACCGAAAGTCGACGCTTAAGGTACTTCGAACGGATCGCCAGGGTCAGTCAACTTATTCTGTGACTCATAAAGCCTGTTTCGTCGCGGAATTCACTCGCGCCCAATCAGTCTTTCCAATTCCGCATACCCTATATAATACCTTTTCTCTTTCCTTGATCACTTTCCTCGCAAATCATACATCAACGCAATAATGGGTTCTGTTGCGCCTTCTCCCGCGGAGCTCGACGCCTCCGTCGTCAAGGTCACCCGCTCGACCAACCTTCGCGATGTGCCTCTTCCTGGCTCTCCCGAGGAATTGAGCCACTCCCACTGCACCGACCACATGGTCACTGCTCGCTGGACCGTCGCCAATGGCTGGGAGACTCCTGAGGTTCGGCCATTCGAGAACCTGAGCATCCCTCCCACAGCCTCGTGTCTGCACTATGCCACCGAGTGTTTCGAGGGTATGAAGGTGTACCGGGGATTCGATGGCAAGCTGCGTCTGTTCCGGCCCGATTGCAATGGCGAGCGTCTGATGAACAGCGCCAAGCGCACCTCTTTGCCCTCGTTCCGGTATGAGGAGATCAAGCGTCTCATTGCCAAGTTGATGCAGATCGATGGACCTCGTAAGTTTGAACCCGAACCCCGATTGCCGGGGGTGACTTCCGAGATCACGATGAACTGACAAAATCCTCGTCTTTTGTAGGTTGGCTACCCAAGGATCAACCCGGTCGATTCCTCTACCTCCGTCCCGCGTTGATTGGCAGCGGCCCACACCTCGGCGTCCAGACACCCAAGGAAGCCCTTCTTTTCATCATCGCCGTGCCGTGGCCCGACCCTTCGAAGAAGCAGTCCGAGCAGCCTGGTGTTCCTCATGGATTGAAGCTTTACGCTTCTCAGCCTGATAGCATTCGTGCTTGGCCTGGTGGTTTCGGATACGCCAAGCTCGGCGCCAACTATGGTCCGTCGTTGCTGGCGCATGGCAAGGCGCAGGAGCTGGGATTCGATCAGGTGCTGTGGCTGTTTGGTGAGGATCGTCAGGTTACGGAGGCAGGTGCTAGCAATTTCTTCATCGTGTGGGAGAACAAGGAGACGAAGAAGCTGGAGCTGGTGACTCCTTCGTTGGAGAGTCAGCTTATCCTTCCCGGTGTGACTCGTCGTAGTGTGCTGGAGTTGGCTAAGGAGCGTCTGACTCAGTCTGTGGGCAAGCTGGCTCCTGTTGATGTTGTTGAGAAGCACTTCACTATCGGTGATGTTGAGGAGGCTTGGAAGGAGGGCAGGATCGTGGAGTCGTTTGTCTGTGGTACTGCTGTGAGTTTTTCCCTTTTTTCTACTTCACACCGTGTGTATGGTGACTAACTGTGACATTCAGTTCTTCGTCACTCCTGTCAAGCTCATCCGCAGCGGAGACGTAGATATGAACATGCAGGAGGCTGGTGCTGAACGTGCCGGATATGCTGCTCAGATCAAGTCCTGGCTCGAGGCCATCATGTTCGGCATGAAGGGCGAGGCGACCCATGAGTGGGGATACGTCATTGATGGTGAAGTTGAACAATAAGCGCTAACAACGATGATGATCATGATGACGATGGTGGTTTGTTTGACGAGGGGATGGAAACCGAGCCCTCTGGAAGGACTCGTGCAGTTGTAGGGAAAGGAGTTGGTGAGATTGGGCGGGGCAGCAGGAAGGGGAAGGGATTGGAGCCACTGTATATACATTAGTTTCTCCGGTACTTTTTAGAGTGCAGATGATAGATTCACGTGACATGTCATTCTTTTTGGATGTTTTCATGCTATTTTACACTGTAGTTGGCGCTTCTAACGATGTGTGATGGAACTGATGAAAAAAGTGCAGCCATGAATGCATAGTCAGGATATTATGAAAGCAATCCTGCGGATGGTCACACTTGCTTACTAGTTAGATTAAGTTTTCAACTACTACAATGCACTATTAGAAAAAGCTACAGGGGCGGCATATCATTATGGGGTGATCTGTGCAGCCACATATGAGGTTGTTGAAATAAATCAATGGAGATCACTAAGTAGTACGTAGTAGTATAGTACCTATCATATATATTACTTAGGTACCCGCCTGTATGTAACGGCTTTTAAGTAGTAGCTTGTTAACTAGATCCGGTTTAAACCTCGCTGATAACACATTAAGATGAGACATATCAAACAGAAGATCATTTACCAGTAAGTAGCGATGATCTAATCTGTCTTTTGGAGAGATCAGATAGTATGAAATACCTTGAAAGGTACTACTCCAAGGCACCCAATAGTACAGATAAGTCTTGGACTAGACAGGTCTTGATGTATAAACTTCTTAGCTTATGACCTCTCGGCGACGTGCTAAGGATACGCAATAGATACTATTGACTTTATATTTGTCTTTTTGTTTTCTTGCTTTTTGTCAACTAACAATTTACTCCTCCTAGGGTATAAATTCAAGCCCTCGACCCTACTGACTTCTCTCAATTGTCTCGAACCCAAGCTTCGATCTTCTCCCCCCCCCCCCCCAAAGTATACTCCAACCCAATCAGTATCCGACAATGCGTCTTGCCATTCTATCTACCTTTTTTCTCGCTACTATCACTCCAGCTTTTGCTGCAGTGAGTGTCGACCGCCCTGGACAATCTCGCACCTGCAACGCCGATGAAGTACGTAATACTACTTGGTATACTATGTCTCATGGATGTTCAAACAACTAATACCAAGTATCATACTTAAGGTTTGCCGATATACCACCGATTACCCAATGGAAGACTTCAACCCATTTCCAAATGAATGCGTTTGTCCTGCAGGGGTAAGCTGATGAATCTCAAATGATCATCGAATGACTATGCAGTGGTGGCCTGCTGACCGCTGCTATCTATCTAGACTACGTGCACTTATAAGGAGGATGATAAATGGAATGTGAACGTATGTTTAGAAACGAATACACTAGATACTACTACTGGGACAAGAATAATAACTAACATCCATTTTCCAGATACACAAGTACACATGCCAGTAACTCTCCCCGAGTCGGGTAATATATGGGACAGAGCTTCTCGACGGCCATGATCACGCACATACACACACACACACACACACACACACACACAAGAGGGGTGAGGGTTATATACTGCGCGGTCGACCTTCCTGGATTGACTGGTGGGACGGGATCCTTTATAGTATATTGAAGTAACACATGCATAGGTGTGAATGGATACGTCCAATAGAGCGGCTTGCGGCAGTGTCAGTAATCTTCAGAGGATGGTACTACTATCGTTTGTTACTATACTATAAGTACTACCCACAGTGTATTTGGGTCCGCTCTAGTTCCTTACTACTAAGTAGCTGTAGTATAGTCACCTAGCAGTTGCTAGTCACTACGGATCTGCAGTGCTAGCTCGGAGATCAAATCTACTAGTACTATCATGTTTATATGAGTTGTGAACATTTATGCCCCGCATTGTAGTCAAATACTGCGTATGAAACTGTGCATATCTCATTGATGCTGTCTCAAGCCTCTCCCATATCTACACGATCCTGTGTGGAATCGTCTCCCAGATCTACCACCA